CTCTTAAGGCTTGACACGCACTCTAAACCTACCATATTGCATTAAATGTTCATTTAATGCAGTGGGTATAAATAGAAGTGTTTCTTCTCTATGCAGAGTGCGCGCATCTCTCTGCTATCCTATTCTTACTTCAAGCATCTTCTAGCTTAAGTAAAAGATCTTCCTTTTAGCAATCTCTTTTCWTGTAATTGCTAAAGATCTGTGTGTATTCAAAGATTGTTTAGATAGGTTTTTTTTATCTTATCTTTCCTCAAAACAGTCTTGTAAAATCTTTATTGATCTTTTTTATCAATATATATTTTAAATTTGAAAATACTGTGTTTGTATTCATCCCCCCCCTTCTACAAACTGTTTATATTCTTGTAGACCCTTACGGGACCAACATCAACCACCTGAGACATGGGTTTGAAGCCACATAGAATCAGTTAGTGATGGAAACCCAACTTGGATATAGTGATCCTATCTACCAAGTTTAAAGGGTAAGAACAAGTCACTTGACTGATAGAATGTACTATCAAATGATAGATCCATGTAAGGTGAAAGATAGTATGGCGTTGTCGAGAACAAGGATGAGTTAATCTCTTAACAAAGTTTAGTGGCACCTTAACAACGAAGATGTTATTGAACTTTGCCTATATGACTTAGAGGTGGTGCCGCCTCAAAAAGAAGAGTAGTGGTTTCTCTTTTAGTAAGTCATGAAACAGGGTTTAGTGCATGGCCATATTAGCGCTTAGTGAGAGAGCAAGGTTGATAGATGATGTGTGTAAGTAAGCCAGTGTGGTTGCAAGATTCAAGGTTTAAATCCTAAGGATACCATTGGATTGATCCCTTTTTGCATACTTACATTAAACAGGGTTTAATCTTAGTGACACTACTGTAACATTATCTACAATGAATGTCAAAAAACTTTCCAACCTGGTGGGGGATTGTTGGAAAATTTGTAGGTTGGAAGTTTAGCTTCCATCCCACATTGCTACAGAATTATTTTCTAGAGAAGCTTATAAGGCTTTCTCTAGAAATAGGCTTTGAACATGTTGGTGAACTCATGGTGGGGGTCTTGAGTGGAAGTCCCAACACACACGCACATGCGTGGCCGTGGCCGAGGCCGAGGGAGCGGGGGCGGGATTCGCGAAAATGGCGCGAGGAGGCGCACTTTGCACTTCGCATGCTGCATACAAAGTCGAAAGGAGAAGGAATTAAATTATTGATTTTTAAATGAAACTCGGTTTAATATTGACTTGGTCTTATCCATGATTTTTAGATAATGATCATTGAGGAAAATCGTCCCATGATCAGCATATTTTTGAGATTTTCGTGGAGCTTTTCTAGGCTTCAACCAGTATTTTAACTGGGTTGAAGCCATCTCAAAACACACTGAAAAAAATCTGATTTTTCCTCTCCTTCGATTTATGCTCTTTCTCTCTACCGTCTTCTACATACTCCTTGTTTTATATTCGTTTTTTATTGTTGTTCATAAGCGAATCGTATACTGCATCAAATCCTGGATTTTTGCGACCGGCAAACTCACAGCGTGAATAGAGTGGTCGTATAAAATCTTAAAGGACATGTTTTACCTTGCAGATTACCATCCAAATCGACAGGAAATTAATCAGGTTGGTTTTATATTTCTCGCATTGTATTTAATTTCCTGTTCACTAAATGAACAACTCTGCTTCTACCCCTTTCATTCATTGAATCTATCGTGAATGATAGATTCAATCTGTGTGAATTGACATTTTTAAGGTATTGGTGGGTCTGAATAATAAAAGTTTTTTTTTGTCCGTTATAAAATTAAAGTTTTATAAAGATTAAAAATTTATTTTGTTTTTTATCCATCTTATTGGAATATTTTTCTACAGTAGGCACATCAAAGAATTTCCAAACAGAAAGAAGAACACCTTCAATCACTAACATCCTGAACATGTACGTAACCATAATCTTCTCCAAGGAAAATGGGCCAACAAGTTCATGTAATGTGATAACCAGATACTGGTTATTATCCAAGGTATTTAATACGTGATTATTTTATTAATTGATTGTGTGATAGCATGATAAACTGATATGTTTGATACATG